ACATAATTGGTGATAAATTAGTAGAAAGAGGTTTTCTTAAATTATTTTTATGTGTAATTTTTGATAAATTAAATATTTCAAAAACAGTTAAGGGTATTTTCGTAAACTTATTAGTTACAGTACATTACGATATAGTCAAACGAAACAGCAAAATATTACTTAACAACAACAAACAATATAATCTATTCAAATATTATATTCATAAAACGATACAATACAATACAATACAATACAATATGATACATTGTAAAACGATGGGTAACAATAATCCAAATAAAGTGTTAGTTGGCAAACACCAAAATGCAGCGGAGAAACGTACCAGCATGATAAATAAGACAATAGCCCATTTTCTTGATTTTCCTTTTTGTAGTGCCCTCCCACAGCATAAACATCGACTAGCCACCGTTATGATAAGCTGACTAGCGGAAGGAATAACAACGAAACCACACGAAAACCAGTTCCAGTGTCTGATAAATACAGACAATTAATTGCCCTATCACGTCCGCCGGTAGTTATCTGAAAAGAAAAAAAAAACAAAATTTATATTTACTGAAAATATATATACTTTAAAAACTTTCCTCAACTATAAAACCATTAATCTTATAGCCAAAAGAGCTACTTCCGAAATGCACTAAAGCTGAGCAATTAGAATATATAGCCAAAGGCATCTAAGTCACCAAAGCCTCAGCATATACAATAATTTTACATATACAAAACAATAAAAATTGAGCTAGCTGCCGGAATAATATTTGTTCTTAACTTATTTTCCAACACAACTTTTTCGGCTTTTCACATTTTCATTTGCACTTGTTGTTGAAAATGCAAGGACTCCTTGTTTATAAAGTGGAATACATTATAGTATTAACAAGGAGTGCAACCAAAGAAGCTCAAATTTCTTAGTGAGCAAGAATTACTTGTACAATATGAGCACTAGAAATTGAATAAGCTGCCATCTCTAATTTCTTAGGCCTCGTATGGATATGAGTCATGCACAGGAATTTCAACTTGGTCAAGAATTGCCACTACTTAATTTAAAACACTTTTTCCTCTTTTGGAACAATGGACTGAACCTGAGTCAAAATGTAATGAGAATATACCAATATTCACAAAGTTTTATGTAAACCGAACAAACGATTTATGAATATCTTAACAATCTTGCACTATTTCAGAGCTAGATTATTTTTTGTTAAGAAGAAGTATTATAAAGAGTTAGAGTTGTAAGATAAGAAGTAAGAAACAATATAAACACGGTATATTTAAGAGAAAATGACACTGTATAGCTGCTATGAAAATAATAGCCGAAAAATATTTAATATAAATAAGATAAACCTAACCAAGTGAAAGGTAAGGTGTCCAAAACAGTTACGAGACCAACAATTTTTAATTAATAAATGTTTGGTAGTAGAAGATAGGAAAAAATTTGAAATGATCACAATTCACAAGGGATAGAGGTTGCAAAAAACAGAGGATATGTTTGTAGAAGAGCTTCTCACAAAGAGCTCTGCTCCATTTGTTGTCTAGCTGCCCAGAATAAAAATGGTAGTAGTATTAACTGCAAATATCAACTTAATTAATATTGCTTCAAGCTTTATGTATTTGATTGTTTGTTTTAAGGTTTTATTTTTCTTCTGTAATGAATATATAGATAGAGAGAGTGAGGGTTTGTACGCATCAGTTTAATTAATGATATTTATCTTTCATACCATAAAAAAAGTGAGGATTGAAAATGGTTTTTTATTTTTTTTATTTTTTTATTTTTAATTTAGTCAGTATAGAAGACTTTCACTTGCTCAATATTGAGTGTGAGATACACAGTTTACCATGTAAGACATGGGTCTCTGCAAAATTTTGTACAATATAAATATAATTTTAGTGGCGATCCCAAAAGTAGGTCTATATGAAAATGCACTACGAGGAAGTTACTAATTCACTTGAATCTATATAGTCCAAGAGAAAAAATTAGTGAAAAAAATCAAATTTAGATACTCCAAAAAATCATAAATTTATAAATGATCCAAGGCCTCCTTTTTAGATTTCGTTGTAGGCCACCGAAAAAAGAGGTATTATTATTTGTAACTCGTGTCATAAATTATTTATATTTAGTAGTCGAAAAAACTGTATGAAATTTGTATATAACATACAAAATATATATATATAAAAAAGAATATATATTATTTTTATTATTATTTTAAGAGCGGTTATACAGTATTATTTTCGCAATAGGAGGTGAAAGTGTGCAAGCTTGGCTGGTATACCTTTTATATAAAAAGTCAAAATTGCCTTTACGGGGCATGACCTGCTTAATCAAAATCCAAAAGAACCCTTTCAACCTCTCAGCTAAACTTTCTTTCCTTTTATTATTAAAAAAATTATTAAATTAAATCATTTCCTAGACACCACCACAACAAGCTAAAAGCCATGTAAAATTAATCCAATTATCTTCAACTTGGGATAGGCTTGCTTGTGTTATTTCATAACCACTATTCATTGTTATTTGATAAATGTACTATTTATAGTGTAGTAATAATTGAGGTTGAGGATTTACCCCCTAAAATAGCCAATAATTTGAGCATGGCATTCAATTTTTCAACATACCAACCCAAAATAAAATACCTCAATGCATCATATAATATACCATATACTGAAAAATAACTCACTGTCAGAGTGCCCCTTTTCTTCTCAGCAGCAACAGCAAGTCCAAAAGCTATTAGATCAAACGCAAAAACCACAACCAGCAACAGTGTTGAAGCCATCTTACCTATTACCAACTTTATCTTTTTCCTCAATGCAACCAAAATCAACCCCAAAGAGAAATATATTTATTGGCTAAGAAAGACCAAGACTTGACTTTTAAAAAAAAAGAAGGTATTACTGTTTAGCTCGCGCCAAAAACTATTTATATTTGTTAGCCGAAAAAATATAATAAAATTTGTATATTTTTTGTATATATATACATTGTGTATGTTATATATAAAAATTATACAAATTTTATATATTTTTCAGCTATTATTTTTACAACGGTTATACAATATCATTTTTCCAAAAAAAGTGGGGCTCTTTTTTATTTTTATTTTACTCGCTTAAAGGAACTTAAACACCAAGTAAAATGAAAGCCGATTACAATATTCAAAACTTGGAGAAAATTTGGCCCCTTTTTATTTATTTTCTCTGTATCTTGTTGTTGTTACTGTTTCTTAGACTTTTTTACTACTCTTGTTGTTGTTACTGCTTCTTAGACTTTTTTACTACTGCATATTTTTTCTCTGCATTGTTGTTTGCTTTGAGCCAAGGATCTATTGGAAACAGCTTTTTACCTACATAAGGTAAAGTAAGGTTGCGTACTTTCTATCCTCTATAGACCGTACTTGTGAGATTACATTGGGTATGCTGTTGTTTATTTCTCTCGTTCTCTTTTCTTTGCTCTTGTGGACCTAAGGCTTGTATGAGAGAGCACATGGGACTAACGTGTTTTTGGGACTGATCAAGAGCCTATGGCCATGTTTAATCTCATCGAGGTAAGAGGTGTTTTGTCTCACTGAAGAAATAAGTGTATAGAAATTACTCCTACGGAAACAAAAAGCTACACCCTTGAAGAAAGACGACATCCAACATCAAGTCAAGCATACGAGGTACCTTACAGAAATGTCCCAAAAAATTCCAATTTACCAACATCTAGCCATTAATTATACATTTATTAAAATTAACCAAACACATATAGAAATTAAAAACACAAATAAATAAGGTTTGTTCTCTTCAAGAATCATAAACAAAAATCTCCTTCCATATTTTTAAGCGTGCTTAGCAATATTAGATGCAAGACGGAAAGAAAAATTTTGTGGATGAGATAGCAAATAAGGTAATGAAATACAAAAAAAATATATACAAGATTCCAAAAATCTAAGCAAAAAATGACTTTTTTCAATGGGTATGGTTGAGATTCATTGAAAACATATAGATGAGTCAATATACAAAATTTGAGAAAGATTGGAGGTGATTTGGACTGATTTAGTATCAAAATTCGTAGTTAAAATCGAGTTCAAAAAATTCTTCTGCGACAAATGTAGCAAACATGTATCACGCATGTATCTCACACGTAGGTATACATGGATATACATGTGATACACATTTGATATAAATATGATATATATTTGATACACAGTGTGATACACATATCATTTTTTTTCATGTTCATTTTCTACTTCAAATTTTCAATTCAAACTACCTCAAAACTCCACCAAATCATTCCAAAACTGAGATTCAAGCTCCTTAAGATGTACCCAATCTATTCTAATAACACTCACTCAAAAGAAAGCAAAATTTTGACCTTTTTTTTGCTACAAATAGCTAATTAGCTAATATTGGTAATATTTTAGGAATTGGCCAGTTTTATAATAAGCTACTTATAAATGGGCATACCTGGTATAGAGCTGTCAAATTTGGCCCAAGCCCAAATGACCAGCCTAATTCGTCTAAGGCTGGGTTGGTTATTGACCCGCCTATTTATTGAATTCAACCCATCTTGACCCAACTCATCTCAACCCATTTAAAGTTGAGCTGATTTTTAGCACAAATTGATTCATGAGTAACTTTGCTAAAATACTTTAGAAATAATTTTTTTTTGTATATATGACCATAATAAAAGAAAAAAAATCTTATTTAGTAATTATACAATTCATATAAAAATAACACATATTAAGTAAAACTTGATAAGAGTTGGGCGGCTTGGGCTATGACCTAAATTTTAGCTTATTCTTGACTCAATCCATCTTAGCCCAAGTAACTTTTGGGCGGGTCAATGACTCAAACCGTTTTGACCCACCCAAAATCGACCCAGCCCGCCCATTTGACACCCCTAGCCATGGACTTGGGTATTCGCTAGATTAGTCCAACTTACAAATGTTGAAGTTGGTAACCCTTGCCTATACTTGGAAATAAACTAGAAACAGAGAACTGCCAATGAGTAAAGTACACAATAGTAATGGAAATCAACCAGAAAAGGATGAGTGAAGTCGAAGAAATTCCATTCTGTTCTAATTGTTCCAGCGGAGAATATGAACCAGAAACAGCAGAATCAGACAAGTCCGAGAAAACCTAGATTATAATGAATATGCTAGCACAGAATGGAAAATGGCAGCAGGAATAATAGAATCAATCCTAGTTTCTAAGGGGGACATCGCAGTTTTCCTCCAAGCAAAACCCTGTTCTACAACATTGTACATAAGAAATAACGAGTAGCAAGCAATACCTATCTAAATCTATATCCCTACTCAACAATTTTGGTTTATGATGAAGGATGCACATAAGTCACGACACATAATTAGAATCTCTAACTCAGTAAATCAAATCACCAACCGATCAGGGTTAAGTATACCACATAACCAATATAACGTCTTCATAATTCCACGCATTCAAGGTCAATGCAAAGTTTTGTGAGTGTAAAACCAAAGTTTCCTTTTCCTCAATTGGTTCACTTGAACGCGTTCATCCTTATGCCACCATCCATTCTAGGAGGAATGGATCCTTCATCTGCCTTGGAGTAGCTGACGTAGAAAAGCTCAGAGACAATGCCAGTGAAAACAATAAAAGCAGCGCCAGCACCAAAGACTCCCTTTCTCAAAACCTCACAGGACGGGGGATGTTGTGTCAAGTAAGTCCTATACTTTGTATGGTAGGCATTTCTAACGGAACCCGCCAGTAAGCACACTTCGGCAATAAAGAAGGTGACCCTGAAAGGTCCAGAAACAAATATGTTCAGAGACATAAATTTGATTCTCACATATTTGACAAGATTCTTACACACATCAGCGAAATCATTTATTTCCCTACTCCGGCTAGCAAACACCAAAATGCAGCTCATGAACCATGTTTAAGGAGAAACATACCAGCAGGTGATAAATAAAAGAATAGCCCATGCTCTTGACTTTCCTGGTCGCAGCGCCCTCCCACAACATAAACATCGGCTTGCCAACATTATGATTAGCTGACTAGCCAAAAGGAATAAGAATGAACCCACACCTAAGCCAGTTGCAATATCTGATTCATACACACAGTAATTATACTCTGCATCTTTCCTGATAGTTGCCTGAAAATAGAACCCAAAAATTAATTTTATTATAAATTTACTGACATATATACTACAAAGATTAAATAACCTTATAGACAAAAGAGCTTGTCAGAAATGTCTTCGTATTAAACTAAACATAAGCAATTAGCACAAATCTTGAATTTTATCAATCACTTCTTCTCACTGCTCTAAGATCTCCTAAAGTTTCCTCATAGCTGAGTTAGGCATATATCAAGCACTCGTTCTGAGATAGGATCAACCAATTAACTTAACCCATGAAGTTGGATGTGAAATTATCTCTGGTCACACCTATAGTTCTGTTCACGTGCTAATATTTATTTTTCGAAATGGTAAATTCTTATTGATAAACAGCACTAAGAATGTGCTTGTGTCAAAAGTGTGAAGACAAAAGTATACCCTATCTAAATCTACAGGGATTTTAAGAGCTCTAAGATAGATTCAGCTTTATTTGCAAGTTCCATTCTACACCAAAAGAAAAACAAGAGAAAATGCTGTTGGATTTATCCTCTAGACGTGACTGTGCTTATCTTCAAAGCATCTCAAGTTCCTCTATTTACAAGCTTTCCACCAGATAAAATGTGACTGTGCTACCAGAATGCTTCTAGATCTAAATGTTTGATTGACATATCGAAAAGGCATCTAAGTCACCAAGACCTTCATTCGGGTTACAATATCGACATCATATCATGACAAGCTTCAGCATATGCAGTTCTTTTTCCAATAAGTAAACCTCAGCATACACATAACGATAAAAAATGAGCTAGTTGCCGGAAAAATATTTGTTCTAAACTTAATTTCCTCCATAACTTTTTCGGCTTTTCACATTTTCATTGGCACTTAATGTTGAAAAATGCAAGGACTCATTTTTTTTGTAAAGGTACACAATATTAACGATGAATGCAACCAAAAGAAAAGAATGCTCAAAGAACATACATCTAAAGATTATTATCCAAATATATTCTAAGGTGAGCAAGAATAACTGGTACAACGAGCACCAGATGTCAAATAAGTTGTTATCAGTTTGTAATCCTCGTATTGATCTCACTCATGCACAGCAACAACAACAACAACAACAACAACATATTCGGTGCGATCCCACAAGTGGGGTCAGGGAGGCTGGGGTGTACGAAGACCTTACCCCTAACTTGTGAGGTAGAGAGGTTGTTTCCTATAAACCCTCGGCTCAAAAAAAATATTTACAAAACAAGTTTAAAAAATACAAGAGTAAAAAAGCTATGATAGAATACTAGTTTGGTCAAAAATTGAAATATTAATTTAACGCAATTATTCCAATTATGGAACAGTGGACTGACCCTGGGTTCTCAAAATGTACTGAGACCAATATACCGAATGTTTTAAGTAAACCGATCTATGGTGAATATCTTAACAATCTTGCACTATTTCAGAGCTGGATTACCCTTGTTAAGAAGTACTATAAAGAGTAAAGAGTTTTAGGATAGAAGTAAGATCTAATATATATACTGCAAGTTTAACTCCGATAAAAAGCATGACAGCAAAGAGATGTTGGAAGGGAAAGTGGCACGTAATACAGACAATGTAGATATATCTGCTCAATCTTCAAGCAGGAAGGCGCAATACATGAATTATAGCACAAAGGATTAAACTAAGTTGGCCAAGTGTCAGAGTGGTACAAGCATGTTCTGGAATAAAGAGAAACCTAACCAAGTGAAAGGCTAGGTATCCAGAACAGTTACGGGATCAGCAATGTTACAAATGTGTGGTCGTACAAGATTGGACAAAATTAGAAATGATCACATTGGATGGTGGTTGCAAGTAATATACACAGAGTAGAAGAGAAGGTTATATGGTTTAGTCATATCCTATATAGACCTCCAAATGCACCAATCTATAAGTGTGACACTAAATATATGGTACTAAAAAGGAAAGAGGTTGATCTAAGATCACATGCATGGGAAGCTGTCTATAAAACCTACAGTTTCTAGTAATCAACGCAGACTTAGCAAGGAATAAAACATAGTGGAAGCAAGGATCCATATAAACAATACTGGTCAGACTAAACCTTAGTTCTTGTTGTTACGCTTACACTAGATCCGGGTAGGGATAAGTGTATACGGGTAAGTCTAAATTTAGAAAACCTTCAGCTGTAGAACACCTCAATTTGCCTTGCAGACATTACTTACTACTAAACGGAATGAGACCAAGCATAGGTGAATAAATAGAGGACTGATGTAGCCAAACCCAAGAAGTTTGGATTGCATTGTATTTGATCCATTGATTGATAAACATGGTAAAAGTTATTATTTTTTAGTCTTCTGATAAAAATAAGACTATAATTTGGTAGATTATCTAATGTTATTTTGTTCTCCTTTCCTCTGCATGCTATAAATTTTGGAGCTTATCTAACACAAGTATAGATCACTAGAGATGGCAATATAAGAATCAATTCAGCTTGCTTGTCAAATCCAGCATCATCTATATACCGGATTAATCTAGTCATGCACATCCGCAAATAACAAAACAACCTCAAACGAGGTGAACAGACTTTACACAGTATTACAGTCTTTTTCATACTCTCATCAACATTGTTCCTCTGTCCTACATTTTGTATCACGAGCGGAGCCAAAAGGAAAGATATAGGTTCTGCTGAACCCAGTACCTTTAGTCTAAACATTGTATTTCATATTAAGAAATTCACTAAATATGTAAAAATAATTAAATTTAGAACCCAGTTACTACCACCTAATATCATTATCCTAAAATTTCGAACCCATAAAGTTTAATCCTGGCTCCGCCTTTGTTTTCTATGCATATATATACACACAGACACACACAGTGGCGGAGCCACATGCACCCAAGGGGGTGTCAGACACTCCTTTGTCGGAAAATTACATTGTTTAGCTCGGTAAATTTTAAAAGAATATGTATATATACTATATAATGACACCCCTTGACTTCTTGGTGAGTTTGTTTCTTTATATTTTGACTCCCCTTAATAAAAATCCTGGCTCCTCATGTACTAGGCCAGTAATTGTCTCTAGAGGAGCATCACCCTGCTTGTTCAAAATTCAAAAGAATCCCTTCAACCTCTCTGCTAAACTTTCTTTACTTTTTTTTTTTAATTGTATTAAATCAACTTCTGGGTCCTTCCCTGGACATCAACTCAACAAGCAAGAAAGTAGAAACTATGTATCCAATTATCTTCAAGCTGGGTTAGGCTTGCTTGTGTTATTTCATAACGACTGTTCATAGTGTACAAAGAGTTTTAAGGGTTGAGATTTTGTAACCCTAAAATAGCTAGTAATAATTTGAGCATGGAGTTCAATTTACCAACTCAAAATACAAAGACCCCAATACAATATATANGGCTCTTCTCTGCTCAGCAGCAACAGCAAGTCCAAAAGCAATCAGATCAAACACAAAAACCACTACCAGTAACAGCGTTGATGCCATCTTCCTATTACCAACTTTATCTTCTTCTTCTTTTGCTCTCTGCTACCAATTAAATAGCGTAACTTTATTACTATATAAAAGAATGTTAGATGCGTATACGTAAGTTAGAAACAGAACATAGACGAGCATACCAAAAAAAAAAGGAAAAGAGTGGAAGTATATTTGAATTAATTAATGGGGTACTTGTTGAGTAAGTAAAGCTATGGAAGGAGGAACATGTCCAAATTACTCTTTTCTTTTTCTGCTTTGTATACTCAGCTAGCTTTCCTCATTCTTTATACTACTACTTTTTATTTTTATATTTCTCTATTCTTTTTAATTAAAGGCGGAGCTAAAATTTTAACTTTAGGGGTTCTAAATTTTCAAACAACCGACCCTGTTTCTAGCATGCTATACCCTAGGAAAAAGCAGTATATAGAGCTCTGCTACAATATTCCTTCCCAATTCCCATGCTAAACCAACTATAGGATTTAAGTTACTTAAAGATTTTTTTACATTAATCCGTAATTTAACCAAATGATATCAAGTTTGTTATCTTTTCTTATCAGATTATAAATTAGTATTTGCTATAAAAATTTGTCCATAATTTTTGTTGGTAAAATACATTATATTACTTAAATATGATTAAATTAAAGAAATATGTGTGCAAACACATAACATGTAGTATTTAATAATATCGTATAATCATTAAATGAGAATAAATTTTCATCATCCTTAGTCCTTACAAATTTAGTTGTAGAAAGTTACTGTTTTGGTCTTTAAATAAAGTGGTCACGGTTCCAGTAAAGGAAAACTAAAGTGGTCACGTGTTTTCCAACAGGTGCAATGAAGCTTCCAACCAATCTTTGTTTCTTTTTGACTTCTTTTCTAATTTTAGAGGCTGAGACTACACCCCTTTGACATCTTTCAAATTTTATCGGCTAATCTTTGCAAAAGTTTTTGAATTTGAATAAAGAGAAATATTGGAGAAACTTTATTAAAGAATATACATGATTGACCTATGAGACGTTATATGTTATGCTATTTGAATGGAAGGCCTAATCAGAGGCGGATCTATGATTTAATGATTACGGGTGCTATTACTTTTGATGTAAACCAACTATTAGTAAAGGAGATTGAACTATAGTGTATATTTAGTCGGTTCTATCTGTTTGACTTAATATGATTCGATTTGATCCATTTTGAATTAGTTTAGTTTGATTGATAAGTTTTTTTATATAAAAATAAATATGTTATCATTAAACCGAATAAGTTTTGTCCAATTCGATCTAATTCTCTTGATTCAAATTCAACTGAATAATGTGACTGAAAAATATAAAACAAATAAAATTTTAAATAGCAAATAAACCCATTAACCTACATATAACTAGATTAATATTGTTTTGTATCTTTAGATTTTTTATTTCAAGTAGTAATAAAGTTCATTTACCAGTGTGACTAAACTAGTAATGCCATTACCAAAAAAAAAAAATAGTAGTGCCACTTTCTCCAATAACGAGCCCATCAACTTGTTTAGCAACAGCATTAACCCTTGGGAAAACTTACACAAATGTTTCAAATAAGTCTCAACTTATCAATCTTTAA